TTATACATTTCAATTATTTTTTAGTATAAAATTATGTAAATAATCTAACCGTATATTTTGAAATGATTTTATTACCCACATATGCTTTACAACATAATACCTTCGCATTTTTAAAATTAAGCGAAAAATTTGAGTGCCTCTGAGTGCCTGACGTTTGCACTTATAACGATGCAATACTCATTATCAGTATCAAATTTACACAATATAATGGCACATGCGTAAGGATAGTGCCAAATCAAAATGTTACAAGGACAATCCTTAATTAGTAATAATTTCCAAGAAATAACGTTTTCATAAATTGTTCTTTCCTTTCATGAATATATATGTACATACGTGCATATTCATGAAAATATATGTATGTACAATACATGTATATTCATCAATAAAACAGTATATATAGTATAATTTCAAGGTATTCTCTTACTATTGTTTTTACTTTTTATTTCATCTAAGCTGTATTTTATAACATACAGATAAGTGTAAAATTTCATTTTTATCCTGTAATGCTGAGCACCTTCGTGGTTTAGTATCAATTCATATTGTTTGTTATTTTCAACATTTAATAAAGTTATCTTTTCTTTCGCCATTTTCTTCCTGGGACTGCTGCCTCTTTCCAGCTACAAATAGCCGCAGTAGCAAGTAATGACAAAATCTATAACGTCATTATTCCATCGCAGTGCTATCGTAGCTTACTGTGGAATTTTGGAACAGGCTTTACAGTGCTGCCAGTACTGGCAGTGTGTTACAGAACGCAGCCACTATAGTATTTCCCTAGTTTTTCGTATGCGATATTTTTCAAGAATAGAGTCCCTGATCTCTCTGTGTTGGTGAACGTTTTCTGCCACTGAGCAAAGTTATTAATTGATCATTGATAACGTTACTATAGTACGTTGTCGATTAGTCATTTATCCGACATCGATAAGTATAATGTTGTAAATAAATAATGTCATAATTAGTTAAAATATGACGTCATTATTACATCTTAAATAGGTCATTTGATGTCAATAATTCAAAATGATGATTAACTATCGATGTCAAAATGATTACAGCTAGCTTGTTATCTGTGTTTTTTTCGGTGACGAATGAATAACGACGTTACATTTCCTTTTGAAAATGAGTAACGTTAATGGCAAAACGGTTAAGTAACAGTTTTTTGAATAACAACGATTTGACTGATCATTATTTTCATCGTTATTTTATTTCTAGCGTACATGTTAAGCGCATTAATGCCCATTTCTACCAATGCAGATTAATTTTAATCTTATAGTTCAATTTGCTCTTCATCTTTTTCTAATTCTAAAAATTAGAAAAAGATTAATAGTAAGTTAAACCGAGATTAAAGTTAATCTGCATTGGTGGAAATGGGCATAAGAGCGATTTTTACCAATAATCGACGATTAAATCAATCAGCAGAGTAGCCAACAGCAAATCTATAGCGTTCTTTCTTATCTCATCTTCGTGATATTGGACACAAGTCATATTAAATTTAATCATAGCATCTATCAAATCATTAAATCAATCATCTATTAAATCATGTTTTTCACTATCCGTAAAATTTTTTGCTCGTTTTAATTTCATATTTTTGAAATATTAGTTACTATTATAGACAGACGATATTTATTACTTTTATCACAGTTAAGTAGGAACGCAGAGATACAAGTATATCATGAAAAGATAAGGTTAAGAATGATACGCAGTCTTGTTGTTGGCTACACTGCTGATTGGATTAATCGTCGATTAAGTTAATCGGCATTGGTAACAGTCGCCCAAACCAATAAGATTGTTCAGTTCAGCTAAATGCTTTAACAAGTGCTTCCGCGTTCTAGTGCAAAAGTTAAAAGCCTTAAACTCGTGCAAAGTTTATGTAGGCGCTGAGCATATTCCCTCTACAATATAATAAAGAAAATTAAAAATTGACTTATTTGTGAAATTTTATGTGCGCGTTTAATATTTCCTTACGAAAAGAAATTACTTGCATGAGCACTATTACACTATTAGTGTAGTAGTAAATTCGACCACTACCGCACTGCTATACTACTGTATTATAGCATTAGTAGTGCTAAATAGTGTCACGTACCACGGCTGCGAATTTCGCTAAATATTTAAAGAAATAAAATTAATTAATCCAGTTTTATTTTGCTAAAATAAATATTACTGATTAGTATATATATCATATTTTAGAAGACACAATAAAATTATGATAAAAAATAACATTCTCAGTAATTAATTTTTTGTTACTCTCAAGCAGTCACCCATCTTAAGTTGTATTACAATACAGCATGCTTGATTTCTGTGATGAAAACTACTTCTTCACAATGATCCACGAATATCTATGATGTTAATAAATATATAATCATAACGTATGATACATATAATTAACGGTATCATAAAAAAAACACGCATGGAAAAAAATAATTAATGTTAAATATAATTACAACACCTAATAAGAACATACTTAATACCATATTATACGTCTTCTCACACGTATTAAAATCATTTAGATAAAAAATAAATGTATAAAAACTAATTTTCATGTATTTGTGACAATCTTGCAACACTTTTGACGAAATGTTAATATTTTTAATACATTTTTGGAGAATTATTAGCTGCGTTCAGTAACGTAAATCTGAGGCGTCGGAGTGTTCTTATATTATAGCAGCTATAATATAAGAGCACTCCGACACCTCGGATTTTCATTGTCGAATGCAGCTATTATAAAGTTTATACACAAATTTGCGAAGAAATTTTAGTTTAACTCCAACAATTTTTTAGTATTGTTACTGAAAAAATTATTTTCAGCGAAATTTAAATTAAATTCAGGGAAAATTCAATAAAACTTTCAACAAAATTTTCCGGATTTTGATTTAAATTCATTGATTTTTCAAGATTTTTTTTTGGAAAAAAATCACTTTTAAATATATCAGAGAAATTTTTAACAAACTTTTTTAGCAAAAAAATTTTGAACAAATTTGCGAAAGAATCAGTTCAATTTCGATGTTTTTTTATTATTTTTGCTGAAAAATTCACTTTTAGCGTAATTTCAGTCGAATTTCAGGAAATTTTAATTTTTGCTAATATGTGAATTATAACAAAATTTTTGCAAAGTTTCAGCAAAATTTTTCTATCAGAGAATGAACTTATATTTTTGTGTGTATGTGATAAGTATGAATTATATGATATAGCATCCTATTCTATAACTTTAACGATATTATTTTACAGTTGTACGTCGTTAAGATTGAGTTACAGAGTAGAATCCAAAATGTCATAAGTTTGATAATCGAAATAATAAATTTGTATTTTTGTGTGCGTTTAAATTCTTCTATTTAAGATACCTATAATATTATAATATAAATGTTATTATATTTATTTATCCTATATATAATTTTATGAAAAATGTATTTAGGTAGCAAAAATAAAAAAAATGCTGAAAAATATATCCAAATAAAAAATTTTAACTTTGAAAGGAAAAAACCATTATTTCCCGAGTTTTTTTTTTATCCAAAAATTTTAGGATTTTTCCTTCGTTTACATCTCTATAAATATCTCATTTTTTTGTCATATACACTAAGAAACATTGTGGAATTAGTTTTTCAGATTTTGGCTCAGAGAAATTGTGACCATTTTCAAATATTTTTCTCTTTCAAGAACAATATATAATAAATAATACAATAAATCAAGAACGAAAACTTCATTATTTATGTAACCTGTAATACAATTAAGCATTGTTCATACCTTTACTATATGATATAGAACAAAAAATATATATAACATTATTGACAAACTAAACTATCACAGTAACATATTACGAGTTAAGGGGATGCTGGAGTTATCGACGGAACGCTCATTTCATTCTTCTCATGCCATTTCGTTTTCTTTATACAGAATAAAAATTTCTTTTCCAGAATAAAAAAAAACACAAATAAATGCGGAAAAACCGATATGAGAATCCCCCAAAAATTGTGAATTACAATTTTCTGTTACCACGTAGGTTTTTTTCTTTCTTCACATATACAATATATAAACGAATGCAAACATATATTCAAACAAAAAATACTTTTCCGTATTTGACTAATTTATAAGAATATCATGATACCTTCAAATTATGATTTTGAAGCTTACAAGAAAAATGGCATTAGAAATACGATTTGAGTGTATATAATCTCACATTTAAGAGATATGTAGGATATAGCAGATCAAGAAATGTACGTAACGTTTTACTTAATGGCTTATTTAATGTACGTTTTACTTAATGTATGTAAATATTTTTCTTGAAGTATGTAATATTTTAATTGAGATTAAAAATCTGTTTCATCGATATCGATTAAATTCGGCCGTTTCTCCAGCATCAACTAACAATTTAACAATTTTTGATGCTCTTTAGATCAATTTTAATAATGTTGAATGACATATTATAATCAGTAAATAATTATATTGCGATTATATCTATAATATTATTAAAAACGTCTGTAAAATATAAACATTTAATAAATTTATTTTGAGCTTGTGAAAACCCGGTTGAGACAATTGCTTCAGGAGTGATAAAAAATACATACTAATATTGAAGAAAATTGTTGTTGCATCGAGTTTGCTATTTGAATTTACTATTTTAAGATTTTTCATTCTATAATTTCCAAAAAAAATTGCTAAAAAAATTGAAAATATCTTTTTTTAAAGTCTTCACAAATTTTGAATATAAAAAATTTTTTAATTTATCTAATTTATAAATATAAAATTCTTTAAAATATTGGGATATGAGAATTTTTTCGCTGGAGGAAAAGGGACATATAGCTCTATAATTGTAAGTAGAAAACTTTCCCTCAGTGCCTTCAGTGTTTGTATACAGAGAACGGACTTTTATGAGTCCTACGTTTTGCTATATACTCGATACAGATATATGATTTCATCATTTTTCTATACGAAAAATATTGAAAGAATTCAACATTTGTTCTTTCTACTACTAAAAGATTATTTGTATTATAAATATCGTAATCGTTATCTAAATGGCTTCACCGCGAAAATTCGTGTCCATGCTAAAGCATCTGTCACCTCGATCACTGGAAAGTGCTACATCGAATGTTAGGTAAGAATAGTTAGAATTTTTGTTGTTTAAACTAAAGTCCACAAACGAGTAATAATTTATCAGAGCACGTCCAAGTCCAAAAACTCCAAACATTTGCAAAACAAAGATAGAAGATGAAAAGCTGTTGTCACCGTTCAATATTGATACTCCTAACAGAGTTAAACTACTCAGGAACGGTCTGCCAAGGGAACATCGTTCTGTGCTTGGAGCGGGTGCTTTCGGTACCGTCTACAAGGTACTTTATAAAGGTACTTTACTGTAACTTTTCTTAATCAATTATGTTGTAAAAAAAAAAGTATATATATTAGAGGTAATTGCATGAGAAGCAAAAAAGAATCCATAAATAAGATTTATTACTATCGTCATGTTTCTCAGGAAACCAAATGGCAGCCAAAATAATTCCACGCAAACAAAACGACGATGAAATAATAAACTCGGAGAGACATGCGACTATTTTGCGACACGCCAACATTGTGAAAATATTGAGAATAGAACAGGGCAGTAACTTGTCACTGATAACAATGGAACTATGCGGCACGTCATTGAAGGACAGGTTACAGGAATCGGCACTGTCGAAAGAGAAGCGTGTCTCAATCTGGAAAGACATCGCTAACGCGCTTCAATTCTGCCATGATTCTGGCGTGATACATGCAGACGTTAAAGCAACCAATATTTTAATGGCAGCTAATAGTCAAGCTAAGCTCACCGACTTCGGTAGTTCAATACTAGTCGATGAACCGCATGTTTCAATCAAGCTGCGAGTACGCACGCATATACAACTCATTGAATCTTTACTCAAAAATAATTTAATGAACTTTCTAACAGAATTACAAACACATGCAATATAGTTCTTGTAATATTTTTCATATATCCATACATATATATACGTATATACTCATTATATATGTGTTTATATGTAATGACAAGATTTCTACTTTTGGCAAATTCAATCACTCACACTACACTGAATTAGTATACATTAAAGTACATATTAAAGGCTTCTTTATATAAGTATATAAATGACATAATATAACCAACTTTAACAATAAAATAATATAACATGTACACTGTTAAATAATGTGACAATATATTATATCAATTAGATATTTAATGGTTTAAAATGTTCATATGCTTATAATGTACATTTACCTTAATTTTATCAATTTATATAATAGCTTTAAATATGCACTAATCTAATGTAATGCAAGTGAAAAAAAATGTTGCTATTTAATTTCTTTTCCTAAAACCTCATTTCTTCATCACAGGGTACACCAGGATATGCAGCACCAGAAGTGCTTCGAGGAGATGTACCTACATTTGCTATTGATATTTATTCCCTAGGAATTGTAGCCTGGCAAATGCTCTCTCGAGAAGTACCTTTCCAAGGATTACATATGCATACTATCATATATATTTCTGTAAAAGGAACACGTCCTGAAGATAAAACTCTCGATGACGAGTTTGATGGAAAATATAAAGAATTATTCAGAGCCGCATGGTCCCAGAATATTGCAGATAGACCTTCGCTCCATGAAATAATCAATAGACTTAATCTTTTGTAATCAATAGTTAATGTTTATTTGATCAATTAAGCTTAAGTTTATATAAGAAATCTTACTTGCGATAAGTAATGAGGTTAATGCTTCATTACAATCTTATCAAGGAAATAAATCTGGTGTGCTCAGGATGAGTTTAAAAGTCTTATGTATCCGGCATCTCACCACCAGGTACTAGCTGTAGCAAAATAAAAAAAATTTTAAAATTAAAATTTTACTTTCCAATTTAATCATGTAAAAAATTATGATCTATTAGACATGTTGTCTCTCATAATTATTAAGCTGATTCTATAATGAGTTGGTAATCAGAAATATAAAGTTTTAATCGGTCCTAACCTAAATAGATGATTGATTTTTTGCACCTACAAATAGTTAATTATACAGCGAGGCATTTAATGGAAAGGAATAAAGTTAAATTAGTCAGTCTTAAGAAAATTAATAGCCTTAGAATGCGTTTCTAAGGCTATTTAACGCTCTCTCTCTCTCTCTCTCTCTCTCTCTCTCTCTCTCGTGGGTATCGTTTGTTCATGTTCAACATTTGATAAACAAAGATAAAATAATTTTATAAGTGTTGAATCATAAAAGTTGGCTGTTGGCCAACTTCACCGATTCATTGATAAGACTTTGATCTACCGACTTATTATTGAATCAGCATTAGATATCACCAATATTAGCGATGATAACCATAGTAATATTGCTGCCGTTAAGAAGAATCTGGTCCAACTTCGTAACTCTGCGGCCTTCTGGCGTTGCTTCACTTTCCGTTACATCTTCCAGCAACATGTTGACGAAATCGTCAAAACCTTGCAAAGTTCCTACAATCTCCTTATCATTTTTCATAATAATGTGTATCCGAGAACCGATACACTTGTCAACTAGTTCTAAAAGTAATATAATTTATTCGCATAAGATTATAAATATTCAACAAAAAATTATTGATATAATTTAAAATATGAACAATTCAATTACCCAAAGGTAATAGTGTAGATGGATTGGTACTAACTGAAGTAGTCATTACGATTTATATCACGAAATACTCATCAACATTAATGTTATCAATAGTCATACCACAGTATAAACACCGAGATATTATAAAGCTGGAACAAGCTGGAAACACACAGGCTGTGTTCAAAAATTGACTGCCAGCACTGAAAATCTATAGTTTACGTCACGAGCACTATAGGTTTTCAGTCTGGCAGTCAATTTTGGAACACACCCACGATAGAGCGAGACAGCGCTGTCTCGCTCGCTCTCGTGGTACGTAGTTCCCGCAACTCGAAAATGGACGTAGGTGCCGCTAGTGTAAAGCATTATACAGGAAAAAGACCGCCATGACCGTTCTCAGGTCTCTCTCTGGTAAAATTCTTTAATATGATTGGTCTTGCCCTTATTTCTTCATTAGATCTAAATGTATAAGCCAATTATATTCAAGAATTTTACACAACAGTTGCAAAGCTGCTTTTTCTTCTGAACATACCCCGTGGGCGCTTTGACATGCTTTGAACTTTGAGCTTTAACCACTGTGCCGGTGCCGTCTATGCTTTGCGGGAGCCATTAACGAATTAAGAAAGAGACTACTTGCTTCTTGAACGTAGACTTTACAGTGCTTTGCGGCTATTTACGCATATTTACGGCACGTTGGTAATCGCATGTTCTTATGTTCTGTTTCGATTTTGATACTGGTTATCTATAAATTAATTATGACGGAAAACAAGGAGCGTACTTTTCTCATGGTTAAACCAGATGGTGTGCAGCGTGGTCTTGTTGGCAAGATTATTCAACGATTTGAGGAAAAGGGTTTCAAACTAGTGGCTATGAAGATGTTATGGGTAAGTGATGTTTCGTGCGTATTTCATTATGCTCGTACCCTAACTTCACACAATTCGATCAAGAACTCGCGAATATGCTAATTTGGCTCATCTCGATTAACGTATCGAGATTATACTTTGTAAGATATATCAGTTATATTGGATTTAGAATAAAAATTACTAATTTTACTTTTTATTTCAATATTTCATATGTAATTCAGAATATTTTAGTACCTCTGAATATCGAATAATGACGGTATTCAAATCTTATTCTTGGATATTTAATTAAATTATTATAAGTAAAATTGGCCTTTTGTGAGAACCTTTAATACTTGTGTAGAATATTGATACGTATAGCAATCCTAATTAGTGCAGTGACCTTGATAGTCAAGTATAGATTGATTTGAAGTATGTTTATTAAAAATTGATGCAAATAAATACATGAAGCATATTTTGTGTTATTCTATGTATAAAATTGATATATGAAAAATAAATGTTAATAGATGTTTAGTGAAATAGATTATTCAATTATATTTTCAAATCAGATTTTCTAAAATCAGATTAATTTTCTGTTGGTTCAATTTTTAATTTGATTTTTTAAGTTATATTTATGATTATTAATGAAGGAAATAACTATTGAAAGACTTCAATATCTAAAAAATATTAAAGCAAAATCTAAAAATATTTTAATGATCTTTCATACAATTAAGTGCTTATAAGCATAATAATAAGTTAAGAAAATTTAAATATGAAATTTTTGTAAGGAATATTCCTAAACAACATAAAAATTAAAATTATAACACAAGACGTTTTTAAGTTGACTTTTAGAATTAAGAAATGTTTTATGATTTGATTTTAGTCACTTTTTGTCTGGATAGTTTCTAATTATTTCTTAAAGTGGATTATATCTTTAATAGCCTTGATTTTTTTAAAATACAGCCATATTTCTCTAAATTGTACGCCATATTTTTATGTTATAGCCTTCTGAAGATCTCTTGAAGAAACATTATGCTGATCTGGCATCAAGACCTTTTTTTCCAGGTTTGGTCAAATATATGAGCTCAGGACCAGTTGTGCCGATGGTGATTTTCTTATATAATAAAACAATAATATTATTGATATTGTATAGTAATAAATTTTAATCATATTAATATTGACTCAAAATCAAATATCAATAATATTTAATCAAATAGACTTAGTTTACGTTAATGTACATGTTTATAAAATTTTTGTTTCAGGTCTGGGAAGGCTTGAATGTTGTAAAGACTGGCCGTGTAATGTTAGGTGAGACAAATCCTAAGGATTCTGCACCAGGTACAATTCGTGGTGATTTTTGCATACAAGTTGGACGCAATATTATTCATGGATCTGATTCTGTTGAATCTGCCAAAAAGGAGATTGACCTCTGGTTTGGTGAGAAGGAAGTAATTGACTGGACACATGCATCTGAAAAATGGATTTATGAATAAGAATTTGTTTTTTGGAAACATTTTCTCAGAAGTTTTTCTATAGTGTCTCTATAAGCATTTCCTTAAAGAGAGTCTTCCGAAGGCTACTGCTAATGGACCAAACTTTTTAGCACAGCTGAGGTTCAAGAAAAACATCTGATATTTGTAAGGAGTAAATAAAAATTGCTAAACTCTATCAAAGGTTTTTAAAATATAAAATTAGAATTGTAAGATAGAAAGTTATTATTTTAGTTACTAAAATAACTTTTATTGAAATTTGGATATGATAAATATTGTAATAAGACTTGAAAGAAAGATATCGTTATCAGAACTAAAAGGTTAATTAGTTAAATAAAATTGAAAAAGTAAGTGCTCTTCATGTCAGCAGTAGATTCAAGGTGTTGGTAAAAGCTGTCCGTAATTCATTGCTTAATAATGGCACAAAGATCTGAATATGGCACTTTCAAGTTGGGTTCAACACCCTGATGAATTGCTCTCTTAGCAAGCTGATCGATTTTTTTATTACCTGCAATATCCTTGTGAGAAGAAATCCATATGAATTGAATTCGCATACCATTATTTTCAGCTTCTTTAAATCGTGCCTTGAAGATAATTGTTAGTGTGATTGAGATCCCTTGATAAATTCCAACACACTTTTATGATCAGTAATAATAGTATTATAAAAACATTGTGCAGGCGCAGATCGAGATATAGTTATAGCAGAATAAATAACATAAGCTTGAGCAGAAAAAACAGAAGTATACGAAGAAAAAAAACTTATACATAAGCTGCACATGCAACTCAGGGGAGAAGACCGTGAAGTTAGTTATTGTTAAGATGTTATTACACAAGAGCATCGATCGTCGAGCATTGTGAGCTTACTATTTGCTAAAAACAGGTTACATAATCAAAATTGATGATTAGCAGGCTCTCGACGATTGACACTCCTATGTAAAAGTATACCTTTAGTAAATCTTCAGTTACCTTTAAGTTACCTTTAACTTGATGTTGACGCCGAATTATTTAGGGCTCAACACCAAAAATTGAGAGTCAATATCCAAACTTGAGAATTGACACCGAATCATTTGGGACTCAATACCAAAAATTAAGAGTCAACACCCAAACTTGATGTTGACACTGAATTATTTAGGGCTCAATACCAAAAATTAAGAGTCAATACCCAAACTTGGGGATTGATACCGAATCATTTGGAGCTCAACACCAAAAATTGAGAGTTAATACTCAAACTGGAAGTTTGACACCGAATCATTTAAGGCTACCCTGAAAATTTAATGATCAACCCCTAAATTTTGAGTGTTAACATCCAATTTTTATAGACAACTCTCAAATTTAAATGTCAATCCTCACAGTTTGGGGATTTTTTCATAAGGGCTGGGTCCACAACCTCTCTTTAAGAGATCCTAAGTAATTATTCTGACAGTGATTATTTTTCTCGCATTTAACTATGATTGGTCAATTTCTTACTCCGGATCTACAATAGGTGTTTTAAGCCTTAAGCCGTACGAAATTAACTAATTACATTCGAATTCGAGGAGAATAATCGATTACGATTCATCCATTTCTTAAGGGGTACCTTTTCACGAGCTGCTGAAACTGGCCGTTCCAGCGACAAAAAAGGTCACGTGATAAAAATTGACGAATAGCAAGCGTCATATTCGCTTAAAAACTGACATTTTTACTGAATTCACACTGCATCCGATTTTCGTCGTACGACGACTCTGCAACTAATCAGAAAACAAAATTTTGCTTCGTATCGATGATACGATTTTTCTGTGGTTGCAGAGTCGTACGACGAAAATCGGATGCAGTGTGAATTCAGCATATGGACTGCGTTCCGTTTCGACATATGCGCGCATTTTATAGTGAGAGTCACATATACTATAGGAGAATGCGCACATATGCGTGAAACGGAACGCAGCCATGAATACTGGCATAATACAACCTAGCCTATGTTCAGTACACTGGTTGGGTCGAAAACGCCATATATGGTGTGCCTTTTTTACGTCAATTTGGTTGTTTCGAATAATCCTAATCCTGATTTTTATAAATTGGAGGTGTGGGAAAGTTCAATTGAAAAATCGTCCAGATTATATCCAATAAAGAAGTTAAAAAAAAATATTCTTAGTTTTTGAGTGATTGTGTGCTAAAATTCAGATATTAACAATTAATAAATTATTGCACAAATTATTCTATATGTGTATTTTCTTATTTTATATTATACGCTGTAAAGGTGTTCGTTGCTGTTAATTCTAAACTCTAAATACTTCAACATTTATTGTGATTTTGAATACATTGAAAATATCTGTCTTGCAAATTGCAACAAATGTATAACATGATAGAAGATTCTACAAAATGTGAAGATACTGAATTTAGTAATGTGATTCCAATGAGTTCTCAAGTGAATCAAATATGTTTGGATACAAAATCTTTAATAGATAGTAAGAATACACAAGTTCGTGTTGTTCGAGGTGCTAAGAGGTTCAAAATTGACAATGATGTTAATAATGCTGAGAAAAAAGGTTTGTCCGTATAATTTATATAACAAATATTTTAACTGTTGCAATATTAAAATTAAATAATAAATTGTTTTTATTTAAACAGATGCAAAAGAGGAAGAAATAACAGAGGTTAAAGTAAAACCTCTCAAACGTTCCTGTGAATTATGGTCTATGGAGGATAAAAATACTTTTTTTAAAGCACTTAATGAATATGGCAAAGATTTTGATGCTTTACAAAACTACTTTCTAAATCAAGGCAAAAAACGGGGTCTCTCAGACATTATGATAAAAAATAAAGAACAAATTCGACATTTTTATTATAGAACATGGTTAAAAATATCAAAGCATCTTAAATTTTCAGAAGGTTAACATGTTTATATATAATAATATAATACAAATATGCATAAAAATTTACATTAATATTTGGGAATACAAATTAGTTTGGTTCGTTTTCCAAAAGACGATTGCCTCCAAAGACGAGTCATTTTTTTGAGATAAAATTGCTTGAGAGATAGGAAAAAGTAGTAGCCAGCGATGGACAATACTTAAATTTTAATTAATCTGTTTATTCATTTTGTTTTGAAATAAATACATTTTTGAACACAAAAAACAGACCAAACTAATTTGTGCACCTAATAGAAACATTTAAACATATTGATGAAAATATATTACTGTTTTTTATTCTTGCACTAGACTGTACTAGAATTTTCTCTCCGTTTTACTAAATATTAAACATATACTAATATACCTATTTCATTATAAATTTTAAAAATGTATACTAATTCAGACACAAGAAACAGATCTGATGATTTTGTCAAGTATGTAATATGTCTTTTTATATATAGATGTCAAAAAAACATCTCAAGAATTATATGGACTTATAAATTATGGTGAACTTAGAAGAAAATTACCTCGTATTCATGAGAAAGTTCATTTAAGATTGAATGAATTGGTATATTGGGGATCTACACAAGTCAGACTTAGAGGAAAGACGATGAGAGTTAAAACACCAATATGTAGAGCACTTAGAAAATTAAACCAGTTGGAAGGTATCTGAATACATAATATGTAACGTATAATATTTAGAAAATAAATATATGCTTCTAATTTTTATTTTGACATCAATATATAATGTAATGCTTTACATTACATATTGATGTCAAAATAAAAATTAGAAAGAAAATTTATGAGCATAATACATTTTATGTCTTGATTTCCATATATAATTTTTGTAATTTACTCTTATATGCTTTTTCTAATTTTTATTGTTTTGACATTAAGAGTCCTTTGTTCTTGTTTTAATTTAATTAATGTATTTAATGTGTTGTAACATAAAATACTTATTTTACTTTTTTTCAGTATACATCTTTGTAAGTAGTTCTACATATAACATATCTATACTTACAATTAGTGATTATCCATCCCAAATTGAGACTGTCTTTCCAAATTAGGAAAGACAGTCCCAAATTTTAACTCTGCCCATTTTGCAAATTTTTCTTAAATTAAGATTATATTATAAATTGTCCCTCTTTTAATTAAAAAAATTAATGTGAAATACATAATATTTTATTTAAAAAATAAAAAGTAATTTTTAACTAATATATGAAGAATTTTGTGAGTTTTTTTATTTAAAAATCTAGTTATTATTCATATAAAATACATTTAGTAGAAAAGTAGAATTTTAATCTTGATTTTCCTGATGATCAACATAGCCTAAAATATTTTATAATTTTTAAATATATATCTGTATATATAATATAATTTTATTATTTATGGTAAATAGCTATGTGAAGATATCGATCAACTGGTTTTATTAAAATTGATTAACACAGAATTCTAAAATATTTGTTTCATTTTAGATTGGCAGGAAGAAATTAAATTACCATCTAGAATAATGATAGAATTACGACCACGTAACAATATGGCTTGGTGGCAAGTACAAGCGGCATCCATGAATCCAAGAGTTCGTACGCTTCTGCCTATTCAGAGACGGCTCTCAAGTTTATTAATATTTTTACAACAACGATGGCGACTCGCAAAATATACCACAGTATCCTTGTATCAATTGCAATAATTTCGCTTTATGTCATAATTATATGTGTATTTTCTTCTCATTCGTTTTTGTGTGTCTTCAACTATGTACAATGAAATTTATATGAATATTCATAATCCTTATAAATATTTGTAGTGTTCCACTGTAGAAAATCTTGTTGCTAACGATATAAAAGATACTTGTTTATTACGAGTTGCCCCACCAGAAGGATGTAAAATTTCCTTACCAATGGTTAATCTTGGAGAATATCTTACTAGCAATAGTGTTAGTTTGAATTCATATGAAAAACGTCTCGGTCTAAAAAGCTCACGGGAAGATTTGTTAGGTTCTGTCCAATACTTAAAAGGAGTGGGAAAAAAAGGCATTAAACGGTACAAATTAGATAAAAAAATTTTTAACCGTACTGATGAAAATTGTACACTGCCAGATATCAGTAGTGATATGGATCTCTTAGAAACTGGAAGCAATGTATCCGAAAAACCAGCGATTATAAATAATACAGAAAAACTGCCATCAGAACATCATTCAGAACCAAATAGGTTTCCTGGCAGAGAAACTGTCGAAAGAATTCAAAAAGGTTGGAACGTTGAAGAAGCAAACACAATTACTGTGGGAG